TGCCCAACTTTACAGCAGAAAAAAACATGTTTCTACCCCTGGCTCCATACATTTTTATTATCGATATAGTTAGATTCCACCTTCATGATTATGGATCTGTGAGTGAATTGTTTTCTAACGCGACCCTTTTATTTATATTAGGTCTTAAAGTGTGTGCATAAATTAGGGCGTGGTCACATTGAGTGACGGCTCTGTCAAGTGCCTGCCGCTGTTAGCTTCTTGTCTCTCTGCTACCTGCTCCGTGAAGCTAGCTACAGGGACTCTGCCTGCTCAGCTCATCCAGGAAACACAACCAGTGTTGCCAACTTGGCGGTTTTCTCGTTAAATTTGGCGGCTTTCCAAACCCTCCGGCTACTTATTTGTGTCAAAAGCGACTAACGACTAATCTAACGATTTATAATGGTGTTATTAGCGACTTTTCTGGTGTTTGGAGACTCACGTATTGTTCTGCAGTTAACGAGCCGCGGGTAGTGCCGTGAGCCACGCCTCCCTCCCATAGTACTCACAGGCGCTCAGACTGACAGTTGCCTGGCCGCAGCAGAGCTGCTCTGCAGTCAGAGCAGAGAGGAGACAACCATACTCCCCCGCGTCGAGACTGCAAATGAATTGCACATGCGCCAACTGCCGAGCCGTCCTGGTTTTGAGCGGGATTTAAATGTAAAATGTAAATGTTTCTTCACTCACTTTCACACTATAATAAATAACTGCCTTTGCTTTGCTTTGACTCACACAGCCTCAGTCACTCAATCACCTCGTCCACTGTGTGTGTGCCTCTCTGTGACAAGCTAAACATCTCTGTGACAAGCTAAACATCATGCTTTCCTGGAGAAGTCCAGAATGTGATCCTTGAAGGCTTGGGAACGTTTTTTGTACTCCCCTCTACCATGCTCTCTCCTACAGCCGCCATTACATGATATGCAAATTAGGCGATGACGTCATTTAGCGACTTCTGGCGACTTTCCGGACAGCTAATAGCTACTTTCCTTACTATGGAGTTGGCAACACTGAACACAACTTGTAGCCGGCCGTGGTTGTTTGTTCTTCATGCTTATATATCGGACTATTGTGACTCGCTCTGCGGTTAAAACAGACGGTGCATGAATGCGGTAAGTGAAATTCGAGTGCTTTATTTATGTGTTAATGATTTTAATCAGCTACGTAATGAATGGTAAGGCTTGGGTTAGCATGTAAGCTAGTGGTAGCTACATCGGTGCTAACGATTGTAATCGTAGCCTCCAAGTTAAAATCATAGACTGTATATATAAAGGTTAAAACGAAATAGACAAGTGTTAAGTGGGATAATACTGTTGAACAAACGGCTTCTGTTTGAGGTTGATAAAATAAGGTTACATCCTTGTAACTTAGAGATATTTTATTATGTAGGTAGGAACTGTATGCATCTAAGGTTAATTTAAATTGGCTATGCTCAAGTATGTAGACAAGCTAATGTCGAAGTAGTGTATGTGAAATCAACCTCACAATAAGATGTGTGTATATTACAATTATTAATGTCATATTTCAAGATGATTACTTAGATATTACAATATGGTTGGTTGAGCTGGAGTTCATTATCGAGCTTACACGTTAACGTCACAGTCATCTGAAGAACGAACCCAAACCTTGAAGTTTTTATTAATTGTATTACCAAATGGGTATCAAATAAACAGTAAGCATTGGTAACACAACTTCCAAAGTTACAGTAAAATAAAAAGGCCCCTGACTCGGACAATACACAATCCAACATGTTCAACAGAAGAGAATCAGTTATATTGTTTGTACACATGGTACTTTACATATATATATATATATCTGTTTGTTTAAGGTGTCCAGGTGATGCAGACAGGCTGGACCAGAGAGTGAGAGACAGAACTGGACTCCTCACAGCAGTGAACTTCAGCACAGGTACAAAGACTCTTTTGTTCATACTGTACAAAGAATCAAGAAAGATATTGGTTTAAATGAATGAAGTATTGACTTGAATACACTGATATACATTCCATTAAACAATACTAAATACTAGATCACCTACACATCAGTTAAGTTGAGGGTTTTTTCCATGCAAAAAGTTACATTTAGATGTTAACAAGCAATATGACTGTCAGCTTTCTAATTTAATGTATTGAAGGCAAAGATATTTAACACATAGTGAGAACTGCTACTATTTATCTCTCAATATTGTCTGTAAAAAACGTGGTAAAAGTTATTCTTTCAGTGAGACAACAGAGCAAGCTTCTACAGTTGCACTACGTTTTGATAACAGTTAAATATTATTTTGATAATAACATATATTTCAATGTTGATGAACTTCATACTGTTCATTCATAATCTGATTGTCTTTGTAGCTCATTGTTGAAATAAAAAAAAACATTACAATTACAAAATAATTATATCTACAGCCCCTAAACACACAAACACACCGCTTTCATAAATAACACACTTGTTCTGCAATAATATGTTTTATGTTTCCTGTCATTTTTGTTAGGAAAGGACATGCCTGAAAGACACAACATCTTCTCCTTCTCTGAGGGTCAAGAAGAACATCCAAGAGGAACATTAAAAGCTGATGTTATGAGATTGTAAGACCAGTACAGAACATTCACTAAGAAACTACTTTTATTGTAAAAACAGTCAGCTGATCGAATGCAGCTATTTCCACATCTACACTCCATCAGCTGATTATTTCTATTTGCCTCACTTTATGAGCTTCACGTACCTTGTTTTGCAACGTCACAAATAAATGGGGCCAATCTTCAGTCAGATGTGAATGTGTAATCTAACATTTTCAGTAAGAATAATGGACAAAAGGAGTGCAAATACAAATACAATTTATTGAAATGTGAACCAAAAGTTAATCGAATGTTTTAAATAAAAAGCACATATGGACAGAAGGTGTAAACCTATTAAATGTATTAAACACATTTAGTCAAATAAAGTGACCGACTAGGCCTGTGCAGTTGGTATCAGCTTTGCCCAGCATGGGCTCCTCCATCAGGCCTGGTCCTCCTCGCAGAGGAAAGACCCTCAGTCCTCTCCAAACCAACAGACAGAACGTCCATCACACGGAGGTTTCTCCCTGAAGTCTCTGCAGCTCTCTGGACACCATGCTGTCTCAATCCGTCCACACTGAATATGAGAAGGGGAAAATGAAAATAATAAATGCTTTAGACAATAAGAAACATAAAGTTGACTGTTGAGTTGCTCAGTTTTTTTAGATTGTCAATACTATTATAACTAATAGTTAAGAGGCACATTCAAATAAAGATTGGTCTTTAAATACATTTTGTCTTTTGAATTGTTTGTCTATAGTCAAGGATCTATAACTGGTACTTAGTTTTAATGATACAGTCTGGTTATTATGCTGTTTGGAGGAGGCCTCACAGATAAGAGCACTAACTAGCTTCCATCACATGTACCTTAGCTTGACTTAAATGTATTAAACGTATAGTTAAGTGATATCAAAATATAAATAACTAATGTCATGCAAACATATTAATATTTGCTTGATTCCAGTGTTGAATTTAGCACAATTGCATACAAACGTTAAGGGGTTTTAAGATTCTGAAGTATTATGTTAAAACTCAATAACTTAGATTATTATTTATAGTTTTGCTGAATAGTTTCATGTCCGCTTACCTTAGAAATGTAAAATGCGACGCCAGCGTGCAGATGGGGAGCATGTTAGCTTAGCTTGGTAGCTTCAGCTAGCTCTGGAACTTCCAACTCGGTGGCAGCAGGTCCCGCCTCGGCTCCGCCTCTTTGCCCTTATTTGGAGCAGGCTGGAGAAGGCGGGAGTTGAACTCAGACGTCACTGTCGAGCCGTTAGTGGCCGACTCCGCCTACTAAGGGCTTCACGGCAACTCTGCAGAATCCTATGGGTGACGTCACGGACCCTACGTCCATTTATATATACAGTCTATCTATGGTGTTTAATCGTTAATGTCAGATATGTACTAAGTAAATACATTTGTTCCTGCTCAAGATTAGATTCAACTTTATTGTTATTGTACATATTACAGGTACTGAGACAACGAAATGCAGTTTAGCTTCTAACCAGGTGCAACAAGCAGTAAAGTGAAAAGTAATGTACACAATCTACAGAATAAAATATAGAATGAATTGAATGATGAATAAACAGTGAGGGGTATGAATACACTAGATATCAGCCTGTGAGCAGTATGAACAGTGTGTATGAATATGCTAAGATATATAAAGTATGAAAACGGTAAGCAGTGCAAGTATTGTATAAAATATATGGATATTAATTTCATGATGATAAACATTGTGGAACAATGATGAAAAATGGGAATGGATGTGGCGACGTAAAACTGACACAAAACAACAACACACTTTTGCCGAGCCAATTGGAGAGTTTCATCACCAGCACGTGGTAAAAACCACCAATGAGCGCTCAGCTCGAGATACCAGCGAGTCGTTTCCCATCAATTATTTCGCTTCCGCAGCCCGTGGAGAGAAACTGCGCCGCCTCGCCGCGCCTCGCTCTCAAGGCTGCGGGCGTCTTTGTCCCGCGAGATTTCAACGTCTCATGTAGGCCCTCCAGAGCAAGTCGGACAAAATGACTAACCATCATGCAACGCACTAGCAAGACGTTGATCGCAACTGCGCAGGTCTGCGCAGGTCTCGCTTGTCTCAAACAAGCCTACTGTTAAACACCTGAACTTTTGAAACAACATCCACAAACATTAATCTGGCGGCAATTTAGAAATGATGTATCTAATATTAAATCACTTGCTACTCTTATTGCACTATTCTACTATTTCACTTTTTTTTTACTATTTTTCTATTTGTATTTACTTGTTCTGTTTGTTCTGTTTTATTGTGTTGCGCTGTTGGAGGAGCCTGTGACCTAAGATGTTCATCGACATAACTACACAGCTATGTACGCATGACAAATAAAAGCCTTGAACCTATCGATCGATCTATCTAATATCTATCTCTCTCTTAGGAGGGGCTTTATTTTGAAAATCCCTAGCGGAAGTGGAACTGTTTACTGTGTGTAGCTTGGCGCCTCTGAGTGTAGACTAGAGGGAGTTCCACTTCCACAGCTCAGTATCTCAGAGGGTCTGAGGATATTAAGAGCTCTTCTGGGAGTTCAGATGCTATGGACATACAACATCTAATGGAGTAACGATACCGTTAATATTGGATGAAATGGTAAGTTTGTTATAGCTATAATACGAATTATGCTTTTCATTGTAGTACACACCGTGATAACTGCTGTCAAAATAACGTCAGCTTGAATTAATTTCCCCATATGAACCAAATATTACATTACATTGCATGTAGCTGACTATGCCAGTCCTCTGTGTTGTCATGTTACGTTTACTTGCGTTTCATTAACGTTGATAATATATAACATGTATAGGCCTGATATTCAGACACACTGGGCCTAATAAAACCAATTTAACTTTTATGATATGTAACACTTGTTGGCATCAGACTCAGAGCCTCAAGTCCAGCCTGGTCGGGATTAGCTTAGAACAGACCTAACGGAAGGCCAGGCTCCGTTTAAAAATATGATAAATGAACGCAATGTTGTCTACCTCCACCCTTAAGGCTGTCGTATTCAATAAGTAAATGTGTTTTCTGAATCCTTAGTAACTGCTTTTCAATTCGGTTCATATCTATTAAACCGAGAAGCATTGTATATTAAGGAAATCTCCCATTTTCTGTGACTATTCAACAGTTTCAGTCTCCCTTTGCTAATGTGCAGGGTGGGAGCGGCAGCTGTAAAGCTATTATTAAAGTCGCTATTTTATTATAGTTTAATGCAATAACACGTAGCCTATGCCGAATTTATCAGCACATCTTAGTGAGTTGATGCTTCTGTTGATTTGTTTTTAGACGTGTGAGTGATTGCTGATGCTAATTGACGGATTTTCAAAAATTCGCCATTAAGCATTGGAGAGAAGTCAGTAGGCTATATGTTGCCGGGCAACACCATTGTCTTATATCTCCATGTCAGTGTGCTCAGTTGTTTGAAAAGCCCTCATCTGATCTGCCCTTATCTCTGAACCCTGGATAAATGGTCAAATGCAGGATTTCGGTCAAATTCAAAAGACTTATTTCTGTTGGTTACTCATTCACACACTGAATATAAATTAGCGTATGAAATCCTTTTTGGATGCCATGGCGTTACATGTGCAAATGTACTGCTACCCACCCTGCTGTGTTTCTTCTCATTCAGGTCTCCCTGCCAGTGTAATGTAAGGGTCTGTACAGGAAGAGGGGGATATATTCACTTGTTAGTGTGTTGTCTTTCCTAAAGCAATGGAGTTCTGACTGTTCTGTGTGCTTTGACTCATTATGCATGCTGTGTCCCCCCCCCTCTCCCCCCCAGGCTCCTGCTGCAGTCCCAGTGGAATAAAAGCAGCCTGGTGAATATTTGGTGAGTTCTCCTGCTCCATCAAGATGGGGAACGGATCATCCGATCACCACTCCTTCTTCCCCTGCCTGCCTCCCTTCCAGGCTCTCCACATTGTCATTCTGGGGCTGGACTGTGCAGGCAAGACCACTGTACTGTACCGCCTGCGTTTCAACGAGTTTGTGAACACTGTCCCAACAAAGGGCTTTAACACAGAGAAGATCAAAGTGCCGCTCGGAGAAAGCCGACGGAAGGCATCCTTCCACTTCTGGGATGTAGGCGGTCAGGAGAAGCTGCGTCCTCTGTGGCGCTCGTACACCCGCTGTGCTGACGGCATCGTGTTCGTGGTGGACTCGGTGGACGCTGAGCGCATCGAGGAGGCCAAGACGGAGCTGCACAAGATCACACGGCTGGCGGAGAACCAGGGAGTGCCGGTTCTGGTGGTGGCTAACAAACAAGACCTGAGGAACTCGCTCAGCCTGGCTGAGATGGAGAGCTCGTTGGCTCTAAGAGAACTCAGCACCTCAACACCCTGGCACCTACAACCTGCCTGTGCTATCATTGGTGAGGGACTGCAGGAAGGTCTGGAGAAGCTGCACGCCATGATCATGAAACGGAGAAAGGTGCTGCGGCAACAGAAAAAGAAGAGATGATCAGCTTCAGATTGTGGGAACTTTCAAATGTGAGCTTGGAATGAAGCTATATAAGAACCACTGTGAGGCACGTCACTTGCCACCCTCTGATTGGTGAGTTTGACTGTTTGTACAGGTCAGCCAGGGTTTAGCTCCCACAGAGGACAGTGGGGTTGATTTTGCCTCGTGGACTTTGGATGCCAACAATCCTGTTATCAATCATGGGAGTCCAGTGTTCTGCTGTCCAGCAGCAAACAATGACGTTTACACTGAAATCTTTAAAGTAGACAATGAGCTCTGCATGTTAGCTGGATGTGATCTGAGTTCAAATGTGTTGCTACCAAAGCTGTTGGAGCCGATGGATCAACGATGCATATGTCAGTCTCGGGACAGTACTTTATATCCGTGTTGCACAATGAGGTGTTGGCCAATATGTTTACATGAAGATGCACAATGATCCCCAAACAATGTTCAAGTTGGATGTGAATGGAGGAAACTATTCGTCAGTGGTTTGGTAGTGGACCTACCTTCCTGTGAGCACAGCCACACTGTTAGCACAACATGTTCATCCATCTGAAATCATCGGTCATGGTTTATGTTTAGAACTAATAGGGAATTCAATAGTGGGAATATTTGGAATGTCTCTACTGAACTGTGTTTGAGGACAGAATGGCTGATTGGCAATACCTATAAATCCACCTGGCCGAATTGGCTATTGAAATGATATTTGCTTATTGCAGATATATCAGTGGCAGTATATTTGTTGAGCTCCTAAGTAACAAGCATTGTCAGTATAGAAATACCAAAGATATGATTTAGGTAATGTATAGTAAACATGACATGTATGTATATGTCTGAAAGGACTTTAAAAAGTATCCGAATCTGAGTTAGCTGGAGCATACTAGCTTGCTAACTTGAAGTAAAGGGATGTTAGCTTGCTCTTAGGGCTGGGTATGATTTGAAAAGATACGATTACAGTGCCAATAATACAATAACTTTCTGATTAAAAAAACCAACAATGCTCTTTGTCTTTCACTGCCTCTGATAGTGAGCTAAAATTCCTTGAGCTGCATTCACTAAAACTGCTCTGCCCCATAGCCATAAAAACAACTTTACTAGCTGTTTTTTAACCGCAAGTGAGCAAATAGCAAATTGCGCACCAGGTGGCGGCAGCTTGAGTTCGCTTTATTGGCTTTATTTCAGTTATCTAGCTGGAGAAAAAGCTTAAAGGTATTCAGTTTGCTGCCAAAATAAAGAAAACAGACTTGCTGTTCTAACAGTTTCGGGACGGACTGACGTAATGCACCATTCACTGCGATCACAGCTTCTCGTTGGCTTCTCAGCTTAATCACAGAGCCTAGCACCAACACTGATGATTTGACCCACAGTTCAAGAGCCAGTTGCATCAGCTGACTCTTCAACACCAGCATGGTTCATGACATGTGTGATGCACTTTAATGCTCCTTTGACTTTGAAAAGCACAGACTTCATAGGACCCTGACACTGACATGTTGCTTCAAAGATGTGTTTCACGTATGTATATTATGTTGCTGTATATCAAATGTAAACCACACAACTTACATGTCCTGTACCACCTTGTTCACTTGGAATAAAACAACAAAAGGACAGTAATGAAGGTGGTGTTTGTTTTGTATCAATGTAACTGCTGACCAGCTGAGAACAGGTCTCCTCTCTGCTTTCTAACTGACACACTGGTTACAGAAAAGGTGATGAATAGAGCCCCTTCCAGCCAGGTGAGGCGGAACATACTGGCCTGTTCTTCTACACTGGTACCAGTTCAACCTTTCTGTAACAAAGACGCAGACTCATTGCTCCCACTAAAGTAGGGCTGAGTGTAAGAAGGAGGCAAAGTTGACGTTCAGTGTTGCCGGGAGCATAAAAGGATTTATCCACCATGTTCAAAAAAGCTCCAGGAGCTCCAACAAGCCGTGTAGGACTGAGAGTGAATACACAGACTATACAGAGATGCTGTTTAAGAAACTAATGTGAATTTGGAACATTGAACAATGTCAATCTATTCTAGTAGACCTCAACTATGGAATTATGATCAGTAGAAATGGCCATGGCCTTTAATGTTTTAAGGAGGTGACGCTAATCAGCCAATCAAATCGGTGCAGTCAGTGAGTCAGCACGATAGATTCACATGAACCATTATGGCCTCACACTCACTGATTCGCACTCTGCCTGCAGCCAAAGGACAGACTGGTGTATGCTGTAAACGTGTCGGAGATGAAATATGTGAGAGACTCTCCAGCATGCTCAACAACCCCAGAGGAATTTGGAACAGGGAGTTGTTGATGTCTAGTTTTAATAAGCGCACAGCTGTGCATAAACACAAACCATATCCAGAAAGAACAACCTTTCTCATGTAATCAGGGTTGGGAATGTAATCCATTACAATTACTAGTGACCTGTAAAAAAGGTAATCAGTACCCTAATCTGAGTATCAAAATATAAAAGTGACCTGATTACTCCACGTTACTTTGGGAATAACTCCATATCAAATGCAATGCAAATACAGACAAGAGAGTTCTTTACTTAAGTGTATTATACAATACAACTTTATTTATAAAGCACTTTAACCTCCAGACCAAAGTGCTGTCCAGGCAAATAGATAAAACAAAGCATACAAAAAAGTAACACAGCTCAGCTCACACACCATAAAACAAGTAAAAACAAAAAACATTTAAATGCAAAAAAGTATGTAAAATGATGTAAGAGAACAGAACAAAGTGACCTTAGGAATGAAGAAACCAAGATATTTAGGATAATAAATGTGTCCTCTTAAATGATTGGATACTACAGAATAGTATAGTTAACAAAGGCTGATTAAGTTTAATATATTAATTGAACACATTGTTTTTGTTTAATAAATTAGGTGTTAACAAAGTGCATTTGAAAAAAGATATTTAAAAAAAAAGTAGTGCGTCTACCCATAATACATTAATCTTTATTTTAAAATGTATTGTACAATTGTAATCCTGATGTTATCCCACCTTTTGTATGTAAAAGTAATATGATAACATATTTTTATTTTACTAAGGGAATACAGTCACCTTTTCTTGTATCCTGATTAATCCCATTACATGTTCTCTGTTACTCCCCACACCTGCATGTCATTACATTTTCATCATGGTGCTTTCATGGACGTATCAGTAACAGTGATGGAAACATCCTCATCGATTGACACAGATGATCCGCTGCCCTTCCTCACTCTGTAGCATCCTTCCTGCCCAGTTGTCGTGTGTATATTTTCCATTACACACACGTGGGGCTTGGTGCCATGCAAGGATACACGTCAGCCTGTTCCCATGGCCCTGCCTGGGGGGTGACCAATGTCCCAGTGACAGAGAGGGCTTCAGGGGTCATGTTCTAAACATCCATATCAGCAAGCCTGACTTCCTCATCTGCACCGGGTAGTGAACAGTGGATTGGTGAGAGAGGGGCGTTGTTGGTCAACCTCCGAGCCCCAGAGAGACTCTGGCTCAGACCATCAGTAAACTCTGACTGCTGTTAGGATGAAGCTCACTCTCAGGGCAGCAGGGGTGTTTTGTGGTGTGGTGTAAAGTAACTAAGTAGATTTACTCAAGTACTCTACTTAAGTACAATTTTGAGGTACTTTACTTGAGTTTTTTTGCTACTTTGTACTTCTACTCCACTACAATTCAGAGGTACTTTTCCTCCACTGCATGTATTTAATACCTCTAGTTACTTCACAGATGTGGATGAATGATGTGAAATATAACCAAGTGTTGAATCAGACTTTAGTTCCACCTGGAGTAAATCCACCAGCTACCCTGCATTATACAAAGTCATTCAAACTAGCTGCACCTTTACCAGCTTTGAGAACACTTTCATGATCAATCATTATAAAACATATCATATATATTATTCTGAAATGGACCAATCTGCACAATGACTACTTTTACTGTAGCTACTTCACTATATTTTGATGAGAATACTTTTCTACTTTTACTTGAGGAACATTTTGAATTCAGGACTTTTACTGTAACAGAGTATTCCTACACTCTGGTACTCTTACTTTTTGTTAAGTTCAAAATCTGAATACTTTCCCACCTCTGACTATGTAAAAAAACGTTCAGCTAGATTACATATTGTTAACTTCAATGTGAATTTTAGCCTACACTTTCTATATTATTTTCATATGCATATTGTTACAGTCTACAAAAAGAATGTCGTCACTGTCATCCTCCCTGATTAAGCAAGTGGCAGCACAGCTAGTAGTTTTAATAGTTTTTCAACCATACATTTAAACTAACCTAATTGTTAATTCATGTAATAGAACTTTCTGATTCTTAGAACAACAACGCTCTCATTTTTATATAGAGCGTCAGATAAACAAACTCACCCAACATTTGTAGGTTCAGCAGGATTATTTGTATGTAACCAAGGATTTGGAACACAGAAGGATAACATCATTAGCTTTTTTGATAATGGTATTTTGGTGCCTTTACATGTTTAGGTCAGTTGTTTCACCCCTTTACACTTTACACTAACATTAGATTCTTCCGACCCTTCACCCAATTAGGAGACAATCTCCAAAACTGATGTATAATACTGGATATATTGCTGGCCAATGTGCGGGGGTTGGCTGATGTGCTGAGCGGCCTGCTCTGAAACTAATCCTGGAGTGACGAACGGCATCAGCAGGTCACTCTTGTTCGTTTTGCTTGATGATGAATTATCCCAACATTTTTGAAGAAGACCCCAAATGTAATGTTAATATAGTTTCAGCCAAGATAAAACATTTGCATAGGTTCTTTTTATTTCGCATATGGCAAACCTCGCCTTTTAGAATTTGCTTTTACTCCCTGTTATTCGTTAATTCTTTCATATTCACGGTTGCTGGCATTTTTGATACAGCGGCCTTCTTCAGATGAATTCAAACAAAACCCCTGAATGAACATGTTTACTTGTCTATTCATGTATTTCTCTGGTAAGGGGGCCATTGAGGTTGATGTTTAGGTCCTACGTTTTGTTTTGTTTGCAGTTTTTAAGCCTAAGCCCAAGAATATACAAGTTTAACATAAACACACAAAGAGAGAAAGAGAGAGTCTTACCCATCAAAACCAACAGTGTCAAAGAAGATGAGATTTCCCATAAAGACATTGGGCCATGAGTCATTTAAATGCTAGCCATTCAGTTGGGATAAAAGATTAATTGAAGGGATTCACTCAGAACAGAAATGAATGGGTCGAAAGCATCAATACGATCAGGTTTCCACAAAACAGCCTTTAATTAGTCTGCTATAGCCAAAGACTTTCAGTAATGCTTTAACCTTTAAATGTATAAGGCTTAACAATCCCAGTGTCACTGTTTGACCTCCAACAATAGAGTTTGTGTACAATGTAAAGAGAATGTGGTTATTATACTTCTGAATGGAATGTCTAGACAGATCTTCAACTCTTAAATCTTTTTTCTCTCTCATTGACATACAGATAGTAACAACAGGCTCTTGATGTTCACCTCTCTATTTATCCTGTATACCTGTGTTTGTGTATTTCAGTCACATTCAGGTGTCCAGTCTTTCAACGCCCTCTTTCTTGCGGCGGAGGAAATGGACTTTGAGAGTCCATTTGAAGAGTGTGTATTCAGCAGGAGGGGCGTGAGTGTTCAGGCTGATTGAAGACTTTCTGAACTGTTAATCTGTCAGAGAGGCTGTGAAGGGTGTAAACGGTGCGGTCGTCAGAGCGGAGGACAGGATGTGGTGATAAGGGAAAAGGAACCACTCCCTGCCGGCCTTAGTTTCCTGAGAAGAGCCCGGCAGTCTGCCAACACAACCCTGAAGCCAACCCTAAACACAATTCACACCATTTTCAAAAGCATCAGATAACTGGCATGAGAAGAAAACTCTAACACAACCTTGTGTACTCATGTTTAAGGATTTTTTTCGAGGTACGCAGGGGATTACCCAATAGCGATAGCTTTAGAGGGCGAAGCCTATACGAAATAGAACCCGCTTCTCCTCAAACTGAATTTGGGTCCTACCTTACCTCAAAACCTTGACAATAGGTGTGTATTTCAAAGTAAAGGCCGAGTTTGAAGATGCGCCACTATTGCTTGGATTCAGTCTGATTTCCAGGCTAAATGCAATTTTGATCTTGTTTTTTATCAACAATTTCATGTGACATCAATTAACAAACTCACATGTTAACAGCTGTAAAGTCCACTGAGACAAATGTACAATTTGTGATATTGGGTTGTATAAATAAACGTTGATTGATTGATAGAGCTGTGTCATTAACAGGATTTGGGAGCAACGGATCACATGTAACGGGATAATATCATTACATGACATTACATTGCATTTAGCTGACGCTTTTATCCACAGCGACTTAAAATAAGAGCGTTCAACCAACAAAATACAAACTTGAAGAAAACAGAATCATATAAGTACATCAGGTTTCATAGAGCAAAAACATTTCAAGTGCTACTCAACTGGCTTTAGATAAGCCAGTCCTTTATTAGTATATAAGTGCTTAGTTAGTATATAAGTGCTTAGTTAGTATATAAGTGCTTTTTATTTTTAATTTATTTTTCATTTTATTGCTCGAAGTGGAGTCGAAAGAGATGAGTTTTCAGTCTGCGCC